TGACGCTGGGATGTAAATTACCTAACAGAGCAACCTACATTGGCAAAAATAGGCAGGAGCAGGGCTGACTGGAGTGGGAAGGTCAGTCTGACACGGTGCAGCCTGAAGAAGAGTGGAGGACGGCTGCTGCAGGGAGGCGGGCGAGCTGATCACTGTGCAGTGAGAGAGCAGATGACGGGAAGTAAGTAAACACCGCCTAAGAACGAGGAAGCCATCTCTGCCCCCAGGTTAAAAAGTATCAAGTAAAGTCAAACACAAACACACGATCTATCCAACAATGTTTATTGAGTTCATTTTTTTTTATTTGACAGGTAAAGAGACTTGAAATACAGCTGAAATGCTCTCAACAACAACTGTAAATACGCCAACTGGCACAGCACTGACGTCTTGTTGTGGGTTCATGATCTGCAGGGGGTGTGGACAGCATTTAAAAAAAAAAGAAAAAAACACACATCATGAGCAACAAGGAAGAATTTGAAAAAGGATGCAGACATTTATGGATGTGTTTGGCTACACTGACAGCTAGCAGTTAAATCATTTTTATTCTGTGGACAAAGACACTGATGTTCAGCTTGTTTGAAGCTGAACCACCCTGCTTTAAAAGAAAAATCGTGCCACAGCCCAAGTCATGTTTGTTGAGTGTAAAAGACAGGCAGCTGGTGAGCAGAGTCACACAGTTAAACTTTTTAAGGTTTCAGCTTTATCTCTTTAAAATTTAGGATCTTCCTAAATCGCAACACCAGTGTCAAAGTCGCACTGACCTAATTTGTACTCTCCTCAGATCATTGAGCTCTCCCCATAAGGCAACAAATCAGATACTTGTTTTGAAAATTTTCAAAACGAGACCTTCTGTGGTCCAACACATTATTGTTGTTATTGTTGGACTCGTGTAGAGTAGCTTTCAGAACAATCCTCAGCACCGTCCCTCAGTTCATCATCTCTCTGATCTAAACCAGATTCTCTTCATTGGCTGCCCCTCATGAACAAATCATTTAAATAGGTGGGTGAGGCTTCTGTGCGCCTCAGGTGACCACGTTAGGGATATCCGCTCTC